AAAAAGAAAAAGAAAAAAGAAACCTGCTCTTCAATTGCTTACATGAGCCCTCTCCACAGCCATATCCCACTCTGGTTTGTCCTTATCTTTGGGACTGTAATTTAGCCACCAAAATTTGACAAAGTTTATACAACAACTAGAAGAAGCCTCTATTGTAGGCTGGTCACCACAAAATTGTATTTAGAGAGTTTTTCTTTTTTTTTTAATTTAATGAATCATTTATTCTGCAGTCACTGTTATTTTATTAGAGAATGTTATAGAGATCATTGAGCCCAAACATTTTTTAGTTTTATTTATTTATGTTTTTACATTTAGGGAACTGAGACACTCGAAGAAATCACTGCGCAGGGTCCCAGAGCTCACAGACCAAAGCCCAATAGAAAGGACCACTTGGAAAAGGCCTTTGCTTTGATAGTACAAATAAAGCCCCCAAGAAGCTTCAAATAACTGATAGTGTGCTGGGTGTAGGGACACATACCTGTAATCCCAACACCTAGAAAGCTGAGGCAGGAAGATCAGCAGGAGTTTGAGGTCAGTCTAGACTGTATAGGGAGATCCTGACTCAAAAAACCAAAAACCAAACCAACAAAAACAAAACCCAAAAAACCAGACAATAATAACAGAAAACTGACAGGATGGCTAGGAGCATTCCTGAGGTCTCTTATCTGACCAGTACATCTCAACCAGTGGGATTCTAATTTATCATGTGCAACATACTCTAAACAAAAGAGATTGAAAAATTGGGGTATGGAGAATGTTTCTTTGCCCTTTACTAGAAAGCAGAGATGTTTTCACCCAGCCAAAAGAGAATGAATGTGTTTATTTAGAATTCTTTGTGTAAACTGAGGTCCCAATGGAGAGGAGAAAGTGATTATTCACTTTGTGGGTTAGTAAAAGTTGGCCACTCAACAGTTCTATGTATCTCTTGTAATCAACTATAATCAACTATAATCTAATTGAAACAAAGTTGGAAAGATCAAGAGAAACTCCTATAACCTGATATTATGTACAGAACTCTGAATAAACTCACAAATGTAATGTCAAGTGAGAGAAACAAGACTCCAAAGAACACAGACTGTAGATTCTACTTAAAGTATGAAATGAAGTAAAACTAATCTCTGTTAAGAAAAGTCAGAAAAGTGGTTATCCTTACAGGCTTGCAGGGAGGGGGAGGGGACTGGCAGGGAACACCAGGAGGTCTTCTAAGGCACTAAAATGTTTGGTTCTTATCCAGGAACTGATTACATAGGTGGATTCATTTTGTGAAAATGAACTGAGTTGAGTGTATTTTCGTCAGTGAAATATCTATAGAGTCCTGTGAAATATATATATGGTCCTATACAAGAAAGCCTTCCTTACACCTCCAGCATGAAAGGGCACAGTTTATGAAGGTCAGCCTTAACACCACTGTTGAAATATCACATGTGGGCGGATTTGCTTTCTGGAGTGACAGGCCCTGTACCTTGTAGGCGCTCCAGACCCAGAGTCCTCTCGTGAAATGTGGCTGGGCACCTACTTTGGTATCTGGCTGCCCTCACTACAGATATCTCTGAGAGCTGGAGAAGCATGAACTTCTATGAGTAGGAAAAAAGACAGTTGGCAGATTTGGTGGAGCCAACCTAGGTGAATGTCTCTTGCCAAAGTGTTTTCTCAGAACAGAGAAAACGGAGGCACAAACTACTTGCTTACCCCTTTCCTGCTTGAGATAGTCTAAGTGGTCGTCAAGGTCACACAGAGAAGCTGAAGTGGTAACCAATTACTGTTGAGATTTTGCCTCAATAGGTTTTAATTTTAGTCACACACACATCACCAAGTGTTGCAGAAGAATTCAAATCAAGCAAGCAAGAGTAGACTCTAGAAACCACGGAGATGGTATAAAGCACCCTTATCCCTAAAGGAAGTGTGGCCCCAGCCACAGGGCAGCCAGTGAGCTCTGGGAGGAGTTATCTGTCTTCCTCTTTTCTTAGATGCTTGTACTCTCAATACCCTGTTTCTTGAGACACAAGGAAACCCCCTTCATGAATCAGTCCACAGTACGGCCTAGAAGTTGTAACTCAAATCTTTTTTTTTCATGTTGGTAAAAACAGAAGAAACAGAATGCTAAGCCCAAGCCTAGAAAACTTACAGTAAGAGTGGGAAAACTGATCAAGAGTTACAGCTGCGTTGATGACCATCCTGGTTGGGTCTTTTCTCTCCCCTCCGCAAATCTAAACACTGGATTCCATTCACTAGAAACCAATGAGTTAATTCTTTTCTTTTCTTCCTTCCTTCCTTCCTTCTTTCTTTCTTTTGGCAGGATTGGGGATCGAACCCGGGATCTTGAATTCTAAATAACCCTATCTATCTTTTTTCTCTTACACCTTATGGGAAGTTTATTCATCTTCCAGAAAGTCTTTTGGATGTCAGAAATTGAGTATCAGGCATGGTTTATTATGTGAAATGGCTGGGGCTTTTGCCACCAATTGTAACCAAACCTCATGCATAAATAGCTCCATAAATGGCTAACAAAAGAGGTCCTAGACTTTCAAAGAGGTTTGTTCTACCACTAACAGGAAAGGTGAATTTGGCAGAAATTCCTTAAGATTATTGCAACTATTTTTATTTTTCCCCCTTGGTCCAACTACTCAATCAACACCCAAAGAATCGTGGTAACAAGTGAGCTGCAGAAAGCACTGAGGGACCCATGGGAAAGATATAGCATGCTATGAATATCCAAATTCTTGGATCCATCTTGGCCAAGATAAAAACCTGGAAAGAGACCTAACTAGAAACATAAATATACATGAATTTGCTAAATGAACTCGAAGAAGAAAACAAGATGTAATATTCAAGTTCCCTGAATTTCAAAAGCTTTGGAAGTTACTTGAAGAAACCACCAAAATAGTCAGTGAAATCTACAGATTATGAACAATAAGGGCCAGGGATATAATTTAGTGGCATAAGCACCTGCCCGGCAAGCACAAGTTCCCAAGTTTGATCCCTGGTACTGGGGGTAAAAAAAAAAAAAAAAAGAATAATGGCACCAGCTTTAGGGTTGTACCTTGCAAACAGTTCCTTTCCAAGGGCTAAAACTAATTCAGGTCAGAGAGAAAGAAAAATACGCTAATTCAAATATTCTTGTTTCCATGAATACGAGTAGAAAATGTCCACTGGAAAGCCCATCAAGAAAGCCAGTTAGATACTAATTCTTTTATTTATAAGACTGGGTCACTGCTTCACCAAAGCAGTATCTACATACCTTTTTAAAGAGCCTTCCTGAGTCCTCGCTGACTTGGACAAATCGAGGAATTATATTATTCAGGTAGATATCACTCAGAGTAGTGTGGTCCCTGCTCTCCCGTTTCACCTGGTTTAAGAGGAGATTCCAACAGTTGACTGGAGAGAGAACATTCTGATCTTTCCTGCAGAGAAACAGCAAGAAAAATAAAATCAATGTTGGTAAGCAGCCAGGGCCAACATCTACAATTAGAGTCCATGTCATAAAAATCACAGCACCTATTTTTAAAATATATTTTAATTTTTTAAATGCTTTTTCATCATATTCTGTAGGGACTTAAAGTTCAACATATCAATACTTGATGAAAAATATCTGTTCCATGTTATGCCTAAGATGTTTGATATTCAGACAGATAGTGAGGTTAAGATTAACAGCCCAGGTTGTACGGTAATAACAATAAACTTCTCTTCCGGAGGGTTAACAACCTAAGTTTGCAGACCAAAAAAAGGAGGACCACAAGGAAAGCCAACATTTTGACCTTACCCTTCCAAGGTCAATTAAGACTCAGGACATATGAGAACTTGTACTGTAACATCATGTAACTCAGTAGTGTCCCAAATTTTCTGATCAAGATTATGGGGCCAAAGAGGAAAGTAATCGATGATGTCAACTGTGCCTAAGGAGAGTCACATGGAGAGAAAACATTCTCTCAGGCTTTCACAGAGAGCACATTGGCCAACCAAT